TTATAACTTAACCTGTTTCTCTTCATCTATGTTTGGCCTCAGGGCTTTTTACCTTTTTTCCTTCTGTACATCCCACTTTCACGGCTTCTCATGTGTGCCTGACGGCTGCCTGGCTTCTGGCCCCAGGCACGTCTCTCTTCTTCTCTTCTCGTTTTTTTGAGGCTAGATTTCTCCTCCTATTTATTCTCTCTGCCCGACAGCCTTGCCTATCCCTCTCCTGCCTAGCTATTGGCTGCTCAGATTTTTATTAGACCAATCAGGTGCCTTAGGCAAGTAAGATGAAACCAATGCAACACATCTTCACTTAATTGAACAGATGCAGCATAAACAAATGTAACACATCTTTACATAATTAAATACACATCCTTATATAGTTAAGCAAATGCAACATAAACAAATGTACTACACCTTTACACAGCTAAAGTAATAATCCACAACACACTGGCATTTCTTTTGAAAGCCAAGGGAAAAGCAAGGAATGTCTAGCAACAGCTGGTTAACACTGACTTGAAATTTCTACCCAGAAAGCAAAGCAGGAAACAAAAGTGGATCTAAAGCTTCACTGTACTCAAAATGCCAAAATTATTTTTATTTTCAGATGACACTATTTCTGGAGAAAATGATAAAGAAGAAACTAGAAAATAACACGGCTATCAAGAAAGTCTAGTAAGATATAAGACTTCTGGTAATAAAATCCATATGAAGAATTCAAGGATTTTCTAACATTTCAAAAATAAATAATTATATATAAAATATATTGATAAAGTTCTATTCCAAATATAAACAATATAAAACACTTAAGAAACAAACGTATTGAGAAATGCATGAAGGTTGTCAAATATAAACAGACAATATAAAATACACGAAACAAACGAAGGCATTGAGATTTGCATCAAAGCTGTCAGTGAGGATGACAGTGAAAACCTGGGGCCGGAGAGATGGTTCAACAGGTGAGAGTATTGGCTGCACAATCACGAGGACTGGAGCCCAGATCCCAGAGACAGGAGGGTCACCGGGGCTCAGGAGAAGACGGTGCCTCAAAGGAATCGGCTCAGTGTGATAGACGAGGACACTGGATGCCTTCTTCTGCACTTTGCATGTATGTACACACACATAAATAAGAAAATAAATCTCTTTTAAAAAGAAAGAAGTCCTAATTGGCTGATCTAAAAGAGGGGCTTAAATAAATGAATGTCCTAAATGAGACAGTTGTGTAGCTTGATCTGCTTAAGGGGCCCCTGGCAGTAGGATCAGGATCCATCCCTGGTGCATGAGCTGGCTTTTTGGAGCCCACTACCTACGGTGGGACACCTTGCACAGCTTGGAGGCAGGGGGAGGGGCTTGGACCTGCCTCTACTGAATCTACCAGGCTCTGCTGGCTCCCCTTGGGAAGCCATACCTTGTTGGAGGAGGGAATGGGGGGTGGGTTGGGGAAGGCTGGAGGGGCAGGAAGAGGGAAGAGGGGCATCTGTGATTGGTAGGTAAAATGAATAAAAAATTTCTTAATTAAAAATAAATGAATGCCCATCTTAAGTTTCTAAATGAAAAAATTCAACATTAAACATCTTTTAAAAGATGTTCATACATCAAGTATGGTTACTGATGAATGTGAAGCATTTCATCATGGCATAAAAGTAACAATAAAAGGAGCCACATGACTGTGGTTTAACAAAATATTAGGGAGCTTTGCAAAAATAAACCAAACTAAAGAAGTACCAATGAATCCACCCCATGGATTTTCCTCTCAGAAGTCAGTGTCATACTAAGACCTTTAAGTGGTAATTTCCAATAACCTCATCTTTTTGTCCCCTGAGATGCTGATTTGTATTTTATTTTTGGATGTATGTATGTTTTTACTTTGTCGTGTGTGCGTGTGCATGTGCGTGTGCGTGTGCGTGTGTGTGTGCGTGTGTGTGTGTGTGTGTGTGTGTGTGTGTGTGTGTGTGTGTGTGTGTATGTGGTCAGAGGATAATTTGCAGAAATCAATTCTCTCCTTCCACCATATGGGTTCTGGGGGATCAAACTCAGGCTGCCGGACTTGGCAACACTCACCCTCACTCACTGAGAAGGCTCAGTGAGTTGTTAATTTATTGTGTTATAGGCTTCACCTAAGATATAGAAATGGGGTATGATGTCAGCAAAGTAACAAAATAGGAAGCCCCAGGTCTTCATTCTCCCATAAAGACACCAGATTAACAATAGACCAATTCTGTTCTCTAAAATACAGAAATCAATGTTTTCCTTTGAAACTACATGTCCAGCCTAGATTTGTTTTGTTTTGTTTTTTGGTTTTTGTTTTTTTGAGACAGGGTTTCTCTGTGTAGTTTTGGTGTCTGTCCTGGATCTCACTTTGTAGACCAGGCTGGCCTCAAATTCACAGAGATGCCCCTGGCTCTGCCTCCCAAGTCCTGGGATTAAAGGCGAGTGCCACCATCACCTGGTGATTTTGCTTTTTAAAGGGCTAAAATTTCATCCATTAACCAGGCTACTATCCACAACCCCAGAGAAGCTAGGTAAAAAGGAGGACCCTAAGAGGGACACACATGGAGGGCCCCAGGAAGGGAAAATAGTTAAGATTTCCTGGGTAAACTGGGAGTGGGGGAGGGTAGATGTGAAGGGATGGGGGAGGGGAACAGGAGGGACTGAGATGGCTGAGTGGAGGGAGTGACAGAGAGGGAGAGCAGTGAAAAGGATATCTTGGTAGAGGGAACCATTGGGGGATTAGGGAGAAACCTGGTGCTAGGGAAATCCCCAGAAATCCACAAGGATGACACCAGCTAAGACTCCTAGCAATAATGGAGAGGGTGCCTGAACTTACCTTTCCCTATAATCAGATTGGTGACTACCCTAATTGTCATCATAGAACCTTCATCTAGTAATTGATGGAAGCAGATACAGTGATTCACAACCAAGCACTGGGCTGAGCTCCTAGACTTTAGTTGAAGAGAGGGAGGAGGGATTACAGGAGCAAGTGAGGTCAAGATCATGATGGGGAAAACCACAGAGACAGCTGACCCAAGGTGGTGGGAGCTCGTGGACTCTGGCCTGTTAGCTGGGGAACATGCATGGGACAGAATTAGGCATTTTGAATGTGGGTGAAAGTTATGTAACTAGATCTTTTTGGGGAGCCCCTGGCAGTGGGACCAAGACTTATCTAAGGTGCATGAAATGGTTTTTTGGAACACATTCATACCATACAGGGGAAAGGGGCTTGGTTCTGCCTCAACTTAGTATGTCAGGCTTTGTTTGACTACCCAAAGGAGGCCTTATCCTCTCTGAGGAGTGGATGAGGGAAGGGGGAACTAGGATTGGCATGTACAATGAAACTTTTTAAAAAATAAATTAATTAAAAACTTCATCCATGTCCTTATATTATCTAAGTAATTGTAAATATGTCTAAGATTCTTATAATCTAATCATCTGTGTTTATTTTTTAAGTGTAATGATATGCTATATATTCTATGCTCTGCCTTCCCTGCCAGAAATGACAGGCCTTGGTGTTAGATATGAGACCAAGGAAAATTCACATATAAAATTTTGAGGCAAGGGCTGGAAAGATGGCTCAGTGCTTAAGAATACTGGTTGCTCTTCCAAGACCTGGTTTTGGTTCCCAGCACCACATGGTGATTCACAATTGTTTAACTCCAGTCCCAGGGGATCCAAACCCTCCTCTAGCCTCTGAGGGCACCAGGCACATACAGGCAAAACATAAAATAAATCGTTTTTTAAAAATTGAGTTTCAGTTAAGTTCAGAAACCCTGTTACAAGTGTGAGTAGGCACCACGAGGGAGGGACAAAGCTGACCAACTTGTCTTCAGTTCTTTGCAAATTTTTTTTGTTTTTTTTTGTTTTTTTTGTTTTTCGAGACAGGGTTTCTCTGTGTAGCTTTGCGCCTTTCCTGGAACTCACTCTGTAGTCCAGGCTGGCCTCGAACTCACAGCGATCCGCCTGCCTCTGCCTCCCGAGTGCTGGGATTAAAGGCGTGCGCCACCACCGCCCGGCGTGCAAATTTAATTCTAAGGGAGCTGAAGTCTAACATTTCCTGGAGTTCCTCAAGTCATAAACAGGAAAGTAAAACATTCAGCTTGGAAAAAGTCACTTTGTCATGTATCTTGAGATATTGTTTTTATGTTTAAAAATATTTATTTTTATTTATCTGTATATGTAAGAGGGTGTCTCAGGGTTTTTATTGCTGTGAAAAGACACCATGACCACAGCAACTCTTATAAAGGAAACATTTAATTGGGGTGGCTTGATTAGTTTTGGAGGTTCAGTTCATCATCATCATGATGGGAAGCATGGCAGCATGCAGGCAGACATAGCAATAAAACCAGAAACTCTTGCTTGAAGCTTCTTTAATGCTCCAATTATATAGATTCTGCCAGATGTGTAGAGGAATAGTATCTACAAAACTTAAAATTCCTAAAACCAAGTTTCTAGATTTTGTGTACTAGGATGTTACATTCAGGGGTGGCAGAGTGCCCACTGGCAAGTTGAGTAACCTATGTCATCAGTCTCAACTAGTTGAGTAACCTATGTCATCAGCCTCAACTACAAAAGAACCTGGGTGGATGGAACTTGTGAGAATTGAGGGTGGGCAGTACCTACACAGAACTCAAGAGCTGTCCCTGACTAGGTTCCCATAACTAACTAATATTAACATGCAGTGTGATGTATCAGGATGCTTCTCACACCTGAGAGACACACAGTGTAGACTGAGCGGAATTCTTGGAAAGTAAAATGCATTTCCTCTTAGCTCTCCTGCACACCATTCCTGTCCATTGGGTCTTTCAAATGTCACCAACTACACAAACTGCCTCAATTTTCTGACCCTTGCTGATGACAGCCCTGCAAGTATTGTGATGTCACCCAGCACTGCCTTTCTCTGGCTGCTCTGAAGGGTGTGTGTGTGTGGAGTAGAGTCTACCACATTATCAAAATATGTAACTGAAGGATCACAGTATGATTGCCCGTGGTTCCCTTTCTACCCTTAAGAAGCAATGAATAACTCTTCTAAATTATGCCGTAAGACTTCTTTTCCAAGAGGCAATATATTCTGCAACCTCATTGACAAGATAGTCAAGAGGCCCTCTTTGCAGTTTCTGGGTCAGTGGGGGTACCACTGCTATGAACCCAGGATTTACAGAACACTGGCAAAAATTCTGAGGTATGTTGACTTGGACGGCTTTGACATACTCCTCACTGACTATATCGCATTTGTGGAAAAGTCAGGACACCGTTTTGAACTCAATTTCAATCTCGAATTTACTGAAATTTGCGTGAATACCATTCTGTACTGGGTTTTCGCCAGAAAAGGTAATCCTGACTTTGTGGAACTGCTTCTTAAGAAGACGAAGGACTATGTCCAAGATAGAAGCTGCAGCCTGGCACTGATATGGAGGTAATCCTCTTATGCTTTGTTGAGAGAGAGAAGTGTGTCTCGAGGGAGTATAGTACTGTTTTCTTAGACCAGCTTTCATGGTGGGGATGTGTCACTGGCTTCATTATGGATTCTGAATTTTACCTGCATTATGTACTATCAAGTCATAGTGGTTCTGCTCAAGTAAGGAGATGTTAGCAAGTGTATTAAAAATCCCTTAAAAAGAAACAGACCTTGCCTTATGACTTATGGTCGCTTCTTTTGGTGCTACTGAGATTGCACACTTGGAGTGCATGCATATAGTTCACTCCCTCAAATACAACTCAGAATATACTCATCACCTCGTGGTCAACAGTCAACACAAGAGCTCCCTATCTCTGTCAGATGGTAGTAAATCTGATTTCAAATCTACAACTGAGCTCAATGGAAACCATGTTCCTTACAGGCCAAGTTTTTACAGCCTGAACCTGCCTGACAGGTTCTGACAGCCTGAATCTATCTGACAATTTAAGGAAAGCGAAAGCCCCAGGTGACTTTCTGGTAGCTCAAGAGTTTGATCAACAGTCAATTAATTCCCTGGCTTCGGGTATTAGCCTGATTAGAACAGTTGTGCATTGGCTTCTTCATTCAATAAAACATTTATCCATCGCATTCTGTATGCACAGTGACAGGAGGTGGGCAGTGAAACACAAGACCCAGGTCAGAGACTAGGCATTGTGGGTTCTGCCTGGAGTAGCCATGATCCCTGGCCATATCACTCTGCTCCCGAGAGCACACTAGAGTGTTCCTGAATGGTCACCCCAGCACATGAATGGGTATCCGGGGGTGGGGGGCTGGAAATAGTAAACAAAACCCCTAATAGGACTTTTTGTCATTTTATGTGTTTTATGTAGTTACAGCTTCTAATAACTAGGCTTAAAGCCCAGGGGTATCCTTGAAAAGTGTAATAAAATAGAGGAGTAAATTAAGAGTTAAATATGAACAGGAGGAAATTTAATGGAAAATGAAAGAGAAACAGTGAATCATAATTGACAGAAGATCATTCACGCTTTCTGGGATGGAACTCAAGGCCTGTAATGCCCAAACCCATTCCCATGTCCATGCCCTCACTGAGCAAGCATGCTACATCTGAACTGCCTTGCTCATTCTTCACTATGTATGGGACAGTGTTTAAATTGATAAATTCTGATGTGAATGCAGTGACAGGATTAAAGTCATTACAGGCAATTCCACTTAGCACAAAACCTTACTTAGATTTTTTTTTAGAACCAGAGTTTTAGATTTTGAAGAAGCCTGAGAATCTCTTGGTGCTTTTCAACATGTGGTAACCTTGTGTAGAGCACTCCAGACCACCAGCTCACCAATCTCTGCAGCTAGCATCTCCATTATACATGTTGTGATATAAATTATCCTTTGTCCATAGTCAGTGGACTATATACTTTCCCTCAAATATTTAGCAGGTCCCATGGCTTGAAATATGTACATGTCAGTAACTTCCAAATCATTATCTCTAGCCCTGACCTCTCCTTCTTCTCTGTCTACCTGAAATTGCCACATGGGACAAAACAGAATACCAATCGGACTCATCCATCTCCAAGCCAATCTGGTTCTCACCTCAATGGCACCTGACCCTATTGCTCAATGTTGCTAGAGTTTTCCTGCCTGGCCCACAGTCAGGACAAATCTCTCTTACCCGCCAGTCCCAAGCCGCTCAAACCCGACCAAGTAAACACAGAGACTTATATTGGTTTCAAACTGTATGGCCGTGGCAGGCTTCTTGCTAAATGTTCTTATAGCTTAAATTAATCCATTTCCATAAATCTATACCTTGCCACATGGCTCGTGGCTTACCGGCATCTTCACATGCTGTTTCTCATCGTGGCGGCTGGCAGTGTCTCTCTGACTCAGCCTTCCACTTCCCAGCTTTATTCTCCTCCTTGTCCCGCCTACACTTCCTGCCTAGCCAATGGCCAATCAGTGTTTTATTTAATGACTAATCAGCAACACATTTGCCATACAGAACATCCCACAGCAGCTCAAGGCAGACATTTGGGGTTTATTCTTGATTCTTTTCTCCATTTGCCATCACAGCAATGAGTCCTTTTGACTGTCTATAAAAACACACCCTCCTTAGTTCCTCATGTCTAATCCAGATGGAGCCAACTGTCATCTCCTACCAAGACAACAGTAATAGACTCTATTAATGTAATTTTTGAAAGCAAGTACACAAAATAATGGTTTCATTATGACATGTTCAAGCACTGGTGTCACTGTGCCTTTCTCATACTCATCCCCTCTCCAGCTACCTCCTGTGCCACCTCCTACCATGTTTTACCATGCTTCCTAGTATGTTCTCTCTTGTGTTCATGCCACATTGCCATATGTGTATATACATACAGAATTAAATCTAAATTCTTTATGAGAGAAAACACGTAATATTTTGTCTTCCTCCCATACTGTTCAAGTGTATATATTTGAGTGTAGATTCCACATAAGAGAGAAAGCATGACATTTGACTTTCAGGGTATGGCTTATTTGACTTAACATGGTAATCTCTAGTTACATCTCATATATTTACAGCCATTTATACCACCAAGCTCCAGAAATCCCCTTTGTCATAATGATGGGCCCAATTTCCCCAATGGTCCTGATGCAAATCTGTCAAGTATGACAAGGCACCTACTAAATTGGTTTTAGACAAAAAAGTCTGAGCTGCCCAGGGGGCATTTGGGTAGAGACGCGCAGCAAGTGTCTAGATACATCATGCCATCTTTGATGTCTTTACTTATTTCTACATCTAATTTGTTATGATATTTGTTGGTTCTGTCTACCTGCAAGCAGTGATAAAACATGGCTGTCTGCACTGCTGTCACCCTGTCCTAAGCAAGCAGCATCTTTCCTTCTGTTGTACAACTGACTGCCATGCTGCTCCTACAGCCCAGACCTCCTGTGCATATCCATTCCGAGTGGAGCCAAAAGACTTTCTCACACACCTTATGACACTCTTCACATGTGGCTCCCCATCTCCCCTGTCCTCAGTTTTACCCTTTTATCCACACTGACGTTCTTATTCTTCCTTCACTGTTCCAGGCACTTCCATGCTGGCACAGCTAAGTAAATGTGCCTCCGAGTTTTTGTCCAGATGTAACCTCTTGGCAACATCCTGCCCAATGGGTCATGCTTCCCCCAGTGCATCTGTACTACTTATTCCATTTGCTGTGTTGACCCTGTATCGTTTGTAATTGATAGAACATTAAGAAAAGCAACAAGAGTTTTGTTTTGTTCACCAATATAAGTACCTAAAACAATGGCTTTCACTTAGTGCACATTCAGTATTTGTTGAAATAAATGAAGAGTAATTGAACCATAAAATGGTTATGGATGAAATTGCATAATAATGGTCAAATCAATATTGACAAACATGGCGCTCATGCCTTGTTAGACACCGAGGGCAGTGGGAAGACACTGGGCTGAGGAACAGATCACAAAGCTACCGGGGAACCTCAGGCTGGTCTGACCAGGAAAACAAAGCTTCAAGAAAGTGTACTATGTGAGCACCAGAGATCACATTATTATGAAAAGTCTTCCATTTGTCAGTCAAAGGAAGATGTAGACAAATTAGAAATATGTCTATCTACAAAGCAGAGTCACCCACTATGTGACTGTACAGAAACAGTATGCCTCATTACCTAACAAGTCTGACAAGCTTTCAGACAGAGGGCTCAGTTCATTAACCTCACATTTAAAAACCCATCTTTGTTTCACTTGCCCCACTCCATCCACATAAGCACTGTTATAATTAACTGTCAGAACAGATTAGGCAAATTTTGGTTTACAGTTCCATACTCTTTAAACCCAAGGATTAATCACACATCATGTGGATACAGATTAGATGTTTAAATCTCATTTTAAAGCTATTTGAGTTTTAGTCATGTTTTCAACATTTTCCAATCAATATTCACTCAATATCTCCTAGAGGTAATGTAAAGTTTAATATATCTGAATCTCCTAAATCTTAACACTGCCCACTTGCTTCTTGCTCTGAGTTTCCTAAATTCCCATACTTAGAAGGCCAAGTTCAATATCTTCTTAAGAACTAGCAAGCTAAAAGAATTACATTGCCTTTAAAAGGTTTAAATGAGTATGGAGCTGAAGTTTTCCTGTGTCCCGGCTGGCCGGCAGTTGGGACAAATCTCTCTCACCTGACAGCCCCGCAGCTGCTCAGACCTAAGTAAACACACAGAGGCTTATATTAATTATAACTGCATGGCCATGGCTCAAGCTTTTTACTAGCTTTTATATCTTAAATTAGCCCATAACTATTAATCTATGTATTGCCACATGTTCCGTGGCTTTACCTGCATCACATTACATGTTGCTCCTTGGGTAGCTGGCTAGTGTCTTTCCAGCCTTCTTCCTGTCTCTCCCTTTGAATTTCCTGCCTGCCTCTAAGCTGCTTTTCCTTAGGCCAAATGGCTTTATTTATCAACTAATCAGAGCAACACATATTCACTGCATACAGAAAGACATTCCCCCATCACTCCCCTTTTCTGTCTAAACAAAAGGAAGGTTTTAACTTTAACCTATTAAAATTACATATAACAAAACAGTTATCAAGCAAGAATTACAGTTACAATATCTAGTCTATTTGTATTTTGTAAAATTAAAGAAAATATTCTATCTATCCTATATCTGTGAGTCTAAGGTTTTATATCTAACTTATCTTTTATCATAAACAAGGAAAATTATAACTATCTAGTCTTCAACTACATCAAAGACCTCAGAAGGATATAATATTATCTAAGTAAACAGGAAGAGCATTGTAAGCAACTTCCCAAAAATCTAGAATGACAGAGACAGTTGCCTGCCTGGACAGTTATCCAAAGTTCCTCTGTAATATTGGGGCATCCATCTTCAGCCAATGGGGCCTAGTCTCTCAGTCACTTTTTTCTCTGTGTCCTGCAGAATAGTTGGAGTTTCTTCTACAAAGCAGGAATCTGAAGGACCATTTTGCCTTGCAAAGTTCAGTGGTCACCTTCCTATGGGTCCTCCATGTCTAGTCGATACAACATTTTGTCAAGCAGTCCAGGCAAGAACAGTTTCTTACCCAAATGCCTATTTTTTGTCAAGAAGAAGATAAACTCCATATGGAGTGTCTTCAAGGCCCATCTTTCTCTTTGAAGTAAATTGCACAAAATTTGATTGACCCCTAAAGAGTCAGTATTGTTTTAAGCACTCATAGGTACAGTAGTGAGCCAAAATGACGACGATTTCTTCCTCTGGACCAGTGAGGTCTCACTAGGCAGAGGCAGCTGCTGCCAGTTTGGGCAACTGGAGTCCCATCCCTGGAGCCCACATGGTGCAGAGAGAGCTGACTCCTGCAAGCTGTCATCTTATTTACACACACAGGAAAGAAGAGAGAGGGAGAGAGAGGAAATAATATGAAACATTTCCCCATTGGAGCTTAAACTCATAGAGCTCACCTTGCTCAACCACTTTTTTTAAGAGAAAAATGAATACATAAAAACACTAACCAAGTTTTCAGAAATTAGAAAATGATAAGAGCACAAGGGTTGAAGGTCAAAGGACCTCATGAGAATGTTCAGGGTGACCAAGGAACTCTTCACTTATTGGACAGTCTCCTACAACGGGCTATCCATGTCTCAGGACTGAAATTGGAGGGGAGAACACACACAAGACAAAGGTGAAAAACCTTGATAAACAGTGATCTTGGAATCAGAGTGGTAATGAGAGATAATCCAAGAAAAAAAAAAGGCTGGAGTTCAATCTTTGGTATATATTGGAAGTACTCGTGAAAAAAGTTAAGATGTCCAGGAAATACTGATTTCAGGAGAGAAAGAGGATCAGCAGGTGTGCACACACAGTGTTAGCAGCAGAATGAAGACAGGGTCTTGATGTCTAAATGCTGCATGACACTACGGCATACGTCCCTTTGCCCTGACCTTTAGAGCTCCATGAAGCTTTAGAGTTAAATTAGTCCAGTGACTTTCCAACTGTACTTTCAGCTTTTTTGTCTAGGAATCTGGTAAGAGACAGAGGGCTCCATATTTACCAGGGATGCTCCCATCCTTTAGTGTCTAGGAACAATACTCTAATGCCAGCATATGTTTGTACCCAGAACACGCTAAGCTTTCCATTGGAAAACACCTGCCAATCCTCCAAGCCTTTATCTTAGGTGTCTGACAGGAAATGACTACCCCAAGGAGAGTTAAGTGCCACTCCTCAGGGTGTCAGTGGCTCGAGCAAACTTTTACTACAGTAGTGGCCATCCTGTATTATATTTTTCATTTCTATGCCTACTCTCCAGCACACTTTGGACATGCAACTCTAAGCATTTAATGAAAGAAGGAGCAAACCAGTGCATATACACATGGAGAAGCAAGCTTTCGAGACTGCTGACCCAAGCCACATGGCTGCTTAGGGCTGAGATGCAGAAGTGAAGAGATTCAGGGTTGCTTCATGTAGCCCACTGGAGCATGCTGGCTCCATCTTATCTAATATGTGCAATTTTTAAAAACTTTATTTTGCATGTGCATGTGTGTGGGGGTACATCTGTGCCACAGCACAAATATGGAGATCAGAGGACAACTTGTGAGAGAAAGTTCTCTGCTTCCACAAAATGGTTCCAGGAACCAAACTGGGGTCTCTAGGCTTGGTGCCTTTACCCTCTAAACCATTTCCCTAGTCTTTACTGTTCCTTTCCTGATGCTGTGATAAAAGCCATAACCAAGGTGAATTCTAGAAGAGTGTTTGAGCTTACAGTTCCAGTGGGTTAAGAGCCAATCATGGGAGGGAAGCACAGGAGCAAGCTGCTGCCATGGCAGCTGGAGCAGAATCTGGGAGCTCACATCCTGATTCACAAGCATGGAACAGAGAGAAGCTGGAAATGGGGTGAGGCTTCAGACTCTTAAAGCCTGCCTCCATGACATACTTCCCCCAACAAATGGAGAACAAATGTTCAAATACACGAGACTATGGAGGACTTTCTCAAACTACCACATGCAATCCTAAAGTTCTGCTAGACTATATCAATATTTGATTAGACTTCTCAAGAGAATTTGAGAGGCAAGTTTTATTAATAAAATTCCTCTTTGCTTAATCTCAAAAGTCACGCTAGTTGACAAAATAAGTATCTGTTAATATCAAGTATCCTGTGATCAGAGACACTATCATGTTTTCTCACCTTTATAGTAACTAATTCAGTAAGGAACATAAAAGTGTACTAAATGATACAATTTCAAAAGCTATGTGTAGATGTAACCAACGGTCTTATTAAATAAGAAACACAGAGCCAATTCAGAGAAGAAAGCCAAGAGGTCAGACCTAAGAGCCTCACCCTTCCTGATTCAGAGATCCTCTTCAGCCAAGAGAGCTCTCCGAAAAAGGGCCTCCTTCCTGTGTGTATGTCTTTATATAGACTAGCTGTTCTGCCTTCTCATTGGTTGTTAACCCAAACATGTGACTGCCTCGTCACTGCCTGAATGTACCGCCCTCCAGGTCCTTAAAGGCGTGTGCCACCCACCGCCGCCACACACTTGCTATGGCTCTAATAGCTCTGACCCCCCAGACAACTTTATTTATTAACATACAATTAAAATCACATTTCAGTACAAGTAAAATACCACCACAGCTATGTATTTCATTTATGTCTTAGAGAATTGAAATATTGACATCTAGCCACCAGGTGACACTCCAAAATACAGACTTCAGTTTATTGTATATGTATGGGATTTTCCTTGCATGTATTGCTTTATACCACATGCATGCCTGGTGCTCCTGGAGGCAAGAAGAGGCCATCAGATCCCCTGGAACTGAAGTTATAGACAGCTGTGAGCTATCATATGGGTGCTTGGAAACAAGTCCAGGCCTCCTAAGGAATAGCAATTGCTCTTGACTGTTGAGTCATTACTCTAGCTGCACCCCATTTTAAAACTCAATCCTGCAATGCAACCCTGGCTAGCTAGAAATTCTAAAACTTAAAAAATGTGTGTGTAGACCAGAGGGCAAACTTGAATGTCCACTTCTTTGAGACAGGATCTTTCACTGAACCTGGAGCTCGCCAAGCAGGCTAGCTAGCTGGCCAGGGACTGAGCCCCAAAATACTCCTGTCTTCCCTCCTGCACTAAGATACAAACACATGCCACCAGAACATCGGTTCTAGGGATTAAATTCAGTTTTCATGCTCACACAGCAAGCACTCCTCTGGATGAACTACCTCTCTAGTCCTCAACTTTACTCTTGAAGGAGGAAAATAACATTCTCTCCTGAGGACCCTCAGATAGGCGTCACCATAAGTTACATTTCTTATTTTATTAAAATGGAAAAACATCTAATCTCCACTCTCAATTCAACCTCATGTCTAATATGTGATCAAGAACAAAAATATATCAAAATGTTTGATATTTCTATTAATAAAGTAAACTGGGCTTCCAGCCCTTTCAAAGGACCCAAAGCTCACAACCACCTGCCATTCCAGCTCCAGAGGATCTGACGCCCTCTCCTGGCCTCCTCAGCTCCCACACACAACATAAACTCACATAGACATAGACACACATAATTTTTAAAAAATTAAATCTTAAAAAAAAATAAGATATATAAAACTGTTTTTCTTTCCCTTCCATTTTATATTTCCAGAACTTGGTGAGGTTTACACCCTCCACCAGTGTGGGAGTCACAGCAGTGAGAGCTGCTGTGAGTGAAAGTGAGCACCTGGCATGCAAGGGGGTCTCAGCATTTGGTGGGAGTTTTCTGTAGTTTGTTCTATAGTTACAATGTTAGTTACATAATGCTCACAGGTGAGCAGTTGATACTATAGATCCCTTTCCATTACTGTTAAGACAGGGTGCTTATGAAAGAGATATCATGATAGAGGGAGACATCATGGGAACAGAGAGAAACCTGGTGCTAGGGAAGTTGTCAGGAATCCCCAAGGTTGACCCCAGCTTGGACTACTAGAAATAGTGGAGTTGGGTGCTTGAATACCCCGTGATCAGATCAGTGAATACCCTAACTGTCATCACAGAGCTTTTCTCCAGTGACTGATGGAAGCAGATGCAGAGATCCACAGTCAAACACCAGGCAGAGCTCCAGGAGTCCAGTCAGAGAGAGAGAAGAGGGATTCTATGAGCAAGTGCATGGGGATCATAATGGGGAAACCTGCAGAGAAAACCAAACCAAACTAGTGGGAACTCATGAAAGTTGGATCAATGGCTGTGGAGCCCACATGGGACTGGACTAGGCCCTCTGCAAGGTGTAGTTGTGTAGCTAGATCTGCTTGGGGGGGGGTACTGGCGGTAGGATCAGAATCTATCCCTGGTGCATGAGGGGGCTTTTTGGAGCCCACTACCTATGATGGGACACCTTGTGCAGTCTTGAGACAGGGCGTAAGAGCTTAGACTTGCTTCTACTGGATGTGCCTCCCCATGGGAGGCCTTGCCTTCTTGTGGGGAGGAGTGGAGGGGAGGTTGGGAGGGGGAGGCTGGGGGAGCAGGAGGAGGGAAGAGAGGGATCTTTGATTGGTGTGTAAAATGAATGAAATTTTTTTCTCAATTAAAAAAAAGACAGCGTGCTTATGATATTGCTTAATCTGCCTTTGGCTTTCAGAACCTTCACACCCGTGTACTGCCCTAGCCCATTGAGTGGAATCACACCTCTGCTCTATGTGGCTCAGACAAGACAGTCAAATATCTTAAAAATTCTCCTGCAGTATGGAATCCTAGAAAGAGAAAAAAACCCTATGAACATTGTTTTAACAATACTACTCTACCCTTCGAGAGTGAGAATAATGGTTGATCATGAGTTGATTGACATTCAAGAAGATGCCAAGACATGTTTAATGCTATGTTCCAGAGTGCTTTCTGCAATCTCAGTCCGGGAGATAGAGGTGAGCAGAGCACAGCTCTTGGGGGAGGTGAGCAAAGCATAGCTCTTGGAGGGTGCAATCCAATATGTGAGTGTTAGGACATATTTATGATGGCAAAAGTGAAGTGTTCTTAATGTATGCATTATTTCCAATGATGAATTAATCACTGCTCATATGCTGAGTAATTAAAAATGAGGTAAAATCAAAATTAGCTAAAATTAATCCTTCAAATGTTGATTTTGTTACCATGAACTTAAAAAGTTAAATTTATAGTTTATTTTAGTGTCAAATAAATATAAATTGTTATTTCAATAACAAACTATGTATTAAGGTTTCTATCTTATAAGAACAAAATAAGTTAAAATTGTAACAGCTCTTCTTTTCAGTAGAATATTTCAAAATGACAGCTCCATTTCTCCCCACAAATACAATCACATACCAAGAAATAGATTTTTTCCATTCAGGATCCCAAAGCAATTTTAAGCATTATAGAAATATAAAAACATAAAATATTTATTCAACTGAAAATATCTCAGAAATATGGAGACTTTCTCCTTAATAAGGTTTTTGGGACTAGACCAAGTTAGAGAAAAAAAATCACCCATATATCAACCATAAATTGAGAATGTTCGTTCTTCAAAATGAACTGCAAATTGCAGTATCAAACTACATCATGCTCATTAATAGCAAGAAGTTAATTAATCTGTATAAAGGGAAGTTAGTTCTACAAATTTAGCCAGCCAGCTTAATAAGGAATCAACAGTTCCTCTAGTCTTTAGAAGTGTAACTTCAGAAATAGATTCATAAGGCATATATTTTGCTGGCTTTTGAATGCCTTGATAAGAAATACTAATGTATGGGCCAGTAGTAAGGCAAACAAATGGGTTGGATTATAATTGGCAACCCATTTTTAAAAGAGAACATCCTTAAGTTGTTTTTAATGTCTTCATTTTTTTTTTTACATCTTTGTTTTGTAGTAACTGCCCTGCATGGTTATTACAGAATACATGAATTTAGATCAGCCTAAAATTCCCCAAGTAAAACTATAACAAAAAGTATCAGAATAAAATTGATCAAAGTCACCTGGGAGACACAGAATTTATATCCAGGCTCCAAACAATTATAGTTCATAAACTACAGTGGAGTAGTGCTGTGTAAAGTGTGGGACCAGGTCCACACTGTCTGAGGAGCTGGTTAGTTCTGGGCCTCCATCCCTTCTCCTCATATGGCACACATATTTAAGTATGTTTGGATGTTTCTAGAATCTTGTAAGCATAAACACTGTCTACTTTGCATACCTAATAATTATCCCAAGCATCTACTACAGTTGAATATACATTAGATATTCTTTAAATAGTTGATAACTGAATAAATAATGAATTTATGTACATATCTAATATAGCTGGATAGGTGTCAAGAGGCCTGGACAATGAAGGTTTTTGCTGTTGTTTTTTAACTGTTATATGTGCCATAGGGGAAAGATGGAGTCAGAGGGCAGTTTTGTGGAGCTGGTTCTCTTCTTCCTGTGCTGTGTGAGTCCCTAAGGAAATCTCTCTTAATGCAGTAATATCCTTCTTTGGCATTTAATCTCCAGAACAGACTCTTTAAAAAGATGGCTTCCTAAAACTCTAGAAGACCTCCTTTGATGCAGGCAGGCCTCCACTGAGGTCCTGGTGATCCACATGGGTTGGGCCCACCTGGGGAGCATGTAGGATTTACATCACCTGTTTCTAGAGTCCAACTTTCTGAATAGACCTGAGCTCTGGTACCTTTAGCTTTTGGATGGCCTTTGCATGTGGCTGTGTTGAAGACAGTACCTCAAAAGAGGTGATAATGCAGAAGTATGCTCCATCTGAAATGAAGAACTTCCCTGATCATAGTTTAAATTTTGCTTAGTGCCTTCCCACATACTGTTCTTTTATCACTGGGAGAACAAAATTGGAATAAAACACCTATAAGGTGAAAAGGTTTTGATAAAGGTTATGAGGGTTATATAAATTCAGGATCTCTTCTGAATTTAAGTAAAATTTTAAAAGTGCTAAATACCTGAGATTGTTCCAAGGGTAAATAAAAGCTTTCCTTTTCTCCAGACACAGCTGAGCTTGGGAAGACGTCCAATTATTCAAAATTGGTTGGACTACATTCCTCCAACAAGATACAATGACCCATGTGAACTCGTCCACCTTTGCAGACTAACCATCAGGACCCAACTGTTAGCCAACAATATGCTCCCAAATGGAATATTTTCACTTCTAATTCCTGCTCGTCTACAAAACTTCCTGAATTTAGAAAGCTAACATGCATCTTTATGCTGTTCTTTAGAATGATAGCATTGTACAATTTAGAAGTTAATAAACTATTAACTTCAGGCAAGTTTGTTGCACTGGATAATCTGTTAGAAGATACGTTTTCAGAGCTAGAGATATTCCCCAGTGGTTAAGAGCACTAGTTTCTCTTACAGAAGATCTGAAATCAGTTCCCAGCACCCACATGGTAGCCAGTAACCATCTATAACTCCAGTTCCAGGAGATCTGATGCCTACTTCTGACCTCTGTGGGCATCAGACATGCATGTGGTATACATATATTCATCCACCTTACTGCTGGACCACTTCCCTCTCCACTGCCCATTCCCGTTCCGCCTCCCATGTCTCTTCCTTTTTGATTTATGTTCTCCCAATCTGCTCCCTTACAAAGCTGCCACAAACCCAAATAATCTGGTTTTAGAAACTTGTACATAAAATAATATACTGCAAATGCTAATTAAAATGCAATTAATGGTAAAGTTCAAATATATTGATACTCTCAAAGACAGAGAAATAGGGAATATATAAGTAATCAAACAAGATAGTATATATAATACACAATAGTGCTAATTTGCTTCTTAAAGTTCAAATATATTGATACTCTCTTTCAAAGACAGAGAAATAGGGAATATATAAGTAATCAAACAAGATAGTATATATAATACACAATAGTGCTAATTTGCTTCTTAAAAAATCTGTATATCATTTGAATTATGACTTCTTTAATATAGTTGGCTATTAATGTTGGAATACCAAACCAAGCTTAATGAAGTCAATATATATTACCAATAAATACTGTAAAATATCCACATATTAAAAAACCATGGGAACACTGGAAAGATGCTCAGCTGTTAAGAATGCTTCCTGCTATTCCAGAGGACCTGTGTTAGATTCCTAGCACCCACAACACCTGCTAACTCCAGTTCAAGGGGATCCCATGCCCTCTTTTGGCCTCTGCAGAGGCCACATACATGTGGCACATACTCATACAGAAACAAGCACATACACATAAACAAAGAAACTACAGCATAAACAGTCTGTGGATAATTCTGTTGGTCAAATTTCTATAAATATTTCAACTACTAAATAAATGGTTCGGTTCACCCGAGTTCCAGGCACTTAGCTGTTCAAGGAAACAAAAGTCTACAGGGCAGATCTGTAAATTATGACTTTATGAGCAAATCACCCACTGAGATGGAACTGTAAAATGAGATGTTGAAGAAGAGAGGAGCTCTTTCCAGTGAAGAAATAAATGACTATTTTCTTTTGCTCTTTTACAAAACAATGACCTTTTGGTACACTCCGATGTGGTGGTGAGGACACTGTATAAAGAGTGTCATTTGAGTGTGTACATTCTTCTTGCTGTTTCCTCAGTATTGTACTCATATACCACATAGATTGTACTGATATTAAAAATAATAATAATTCTTTACATTTGTTGTGTGTATATGCACACAGGCATGTAAACCACGGTGTGCATGTGGAGGTCGGAGGACAACTGGAGGGAATCGATTCTCTCCTTCACCACATGGGTTCCAGGTTGGCAGGGTTGGCAGCAAGTGCCTTTGCCTAATGGACCGTCTTGCCAGTTCCCTGGGAATGAATACACAAGGGAGGCAGATCAGTGCTGTCTCTCGGTTGCCTTTATGTAAAACGGGCAGCCAGAATGAAAAGCAGAAAGAGGAACAAGCCAGCAAGCAGAACACAGACTCCTGAGCGTTAGAAGCAGGCTGTCAACAACCCTTTCCAGTATCACTCATTTCATTTTAAGGTCTTTATTTTCACCTTTAGGACTATACTGACTGTCTAGTGACTGTCAAAGACTAGTTCCCAGCATCGTTCTAATGAACTTAGAATCATTAATGTCAGAATTTGGAGATACCTGGCTAAGATGTGATTGAGTCATAGAGCATTATGATAGACCAGAATATAAATGTTTAAAAGTAGCTTTTCAAACCTAAAAAGGTTATTTTTAAAGCTAAAACATTTCTGTCAATATTCTGAACTGTAACTTGTAATATGGGGAAGTACAAACTTAACCTGACTTCACAAATGAAGACTATTGTACATTTTTTTCTAACAAAAACTTTTCTTTCTCCTGGTGTTGGTGGCATATACCTTTAATCCCAGCACTCAAGAGGCAGAGGCAGGAGGATCTCTGAGTCCAAGGTCAGTGATCTACAGAGTGCATTCCAGGACAGCCAGGACTACATAGAGAAGCACTGTCTTGAAAAACAAATCAAAACAAGACAAAAAAAAAAAAAAAAAAAAAAAAAGGAAGTAAATAAAATCAAAAACCAAAAATCTTTTCTTTCAAGGGTTGTCACTTTTAAAGTTATTCTAATGACTATTCTCCATCTAGAACGCAAAGGTAAAAATTCTGAAGTTAAGCCGGGCGGTGGTGGCGCACGCCTTTAATCCCAGCACTCGGGAGGCAGAGGCAGGCGGATCTCTGTGAGTTCGAGGCCAGCCTGGTCTACAGCGCGAGATTCAGGAAAGGCGCAAAGCTACACAGAGAAACCCTGTCTCGAAAAACCAAAAAAAAAAAAAAAAAAAAAAAAAAAAAATTCTGAAGTTAATATACTGCAATTTTCAATTAAAATCTAAAACTAAGCAACTGAGCTGCAGTTAGTGAATAATCTGTGAGCTCTTATTCCTCGGTCCTCTCTGGAAGGTCTGCAGCCCTGGGGAAGTCCTCTTCGTACTTCTTCTTGAGATTACTCAGATATGTCCGTAGTTTGTCTGGTTCCAGCTGAGAGTTTCGGGCGGCCTGGACAAGCCTTGTGGCAAGATGGTACACAACTCTCCACCTATCCATCTCAGGGCAACTCCTTTGACTTTGCTGTTATTCAAACATAGAAATTACACCATAAATATGCATTTAATTCATATTTTGGTACTATCCTATCTCCTTTCATAGAAATAGGAACTCAAGGTCTCTCTCTCTCTCTTTCACACACACACACACACACACACACACACACACACACACACTTAAGTGCTATCCTGGAGAATTAAATTTCCCATGAACGTTTACCACTTTATGGAAGACTTGTCTCTTTGCAAATAATATTTAAAGAAAAAATCTTGTTAAATCAGTCAAATTCATAAACAAAATACTGAAAAGTAATAAAGTCCAGCAAGGAGACGGGTGTGCAAACACACTTTGTTCTCAAAGGTGTTGGGACAACAGCACTGCTCACTGCTGGGCAGCAGCCATGATTTTAAATGTCACCCAGGGATAAGAGGAGTCATCAGAAAACCCCCTGCCCAAATGATACAAAAAAACTGTTGGAGCCTACAGAAAATATTGCCAGAGAAGTAAAATACATTTAAAAATGAACATAAATTGAGATATAAAATTATGACTGATTTTAACCAATGATACTTAAGGATATCCAAAAATAATACTTAAAATATACCATCTTCCAACAGGACTAGAAGATGGACTTGGGAATGGAGGTAGAATTTATTAAACTTATAATTTACATATTTGACTGAGCTAGATAAAGAAATCAACATTTTCAACACTAACTACTTGGGAAATCCTAGTAAGTTTTCCAGAAGTATTATCTCCTCAACTCTTTTTCCGTGGCAGACAATTCTCTCTATGACTCTATTTTCCCTTCTTTCACTACAGTAAAAGGAGTATGATTCTTTTTTTTTTTTTAGGAGTATGATTCTATAAAATAGAATAAGATTATCATATGTTTAATCATCTATTTGGTACCTAATTAATTATTCTCATTTATATAAAAGTTACTGGGCATCTGTTCCAGGCACCAAAGCTTGTGTCCGGGTGTCTATTGGGCCTACAACCATGTCCACACTTGATGTGATAATGGAACTCCAGCAGCTTACAGTCTTCCAGGCCTGTCTACAGCAATTGACTGTGGCAGTTATGGAAAGTTCTGTAAGAGAGATGCACAATGCTCAGAGAAGGGAAGCCCACTTCCAGCTCAGATCAGGCAAAGCTTACATAAGATGGAGAATCTGGAGCCAAACTTGACTGGTAGAAGAGCCATGAAGAGAGAGTTTTGGGTAGAGAAACAGCTAAAGCAGGCATCCCAGAGACTTGGAACACAACCAGGGAAATTACAAGGGACAGAGATGCAAATTATGTGAAACTGACTGATGTGGGATAAGGGTGGCATAAAGAAACAAAAGGAGACTCTAAAGCAAAACTGGGCAAAAGGGCAAATCTTGAGCCATGCGAGACTTGGGAGATGAAGGCAGTGCCCAGGATCCCTAGTGGCGTTAGAGCTGCATTTTGTGAAATAATTATACAAAACTTTAAAGGCTCAACTTTAACTTGATAAGCAGTGACTGACAGCTTCTGATTAGGCATAGTAATTATGCACTGAGAGACAATGTGGAATGTGTATAGGATGAATTAGGAAAAAGAATTAGCAAATGGTCTTAATGAGACATGCTTGTGAGGTAGGAGTCACATATGGCTATGATGGGGAGGGATACTTGGAAGTGAACAGACAGATTTCTTTTTGTCAACAGATGATAATTCAAATTTTGATTTAAAAACAGGTGAATATATTAAAGGAGTGTTGGCAAGATGCCTCAACAGGTAAAGGTGCTTGTCACCAAGCCTGATGACTTGAGTTTAATCCCTGGGACCCAGATGATAGAGAGAACAAACTCCTGTTAACTAACTCCTCTGACTCTCTCTCTCTCTCTCTCTCTCTCTCTCTCTCTCTCTCTCTCACACACACACACACACACACACACACACACACACACACACACACACACACCCCAAGAGAGAGACAGACAGACAGACAGACACAAACTGTGGCATGTGCCCTCCAATATATCACACACAAATAAATAAATATAATTTAAAAAATCATCTCAAAAGGTATTATGGGAAATATGGAGAAAATACATGAAGATTCAGTGTTAGCAGAACTGAAAACAGAAGCTGTGGGGAGAAAAGACCACTAACACTACAGATTATACAAAGGGGGTTGGGGCAAACCCCTTCCAGACATCCTGAGTGAGAAAAGAAAAGGCTTTAGTGAAGAAGAGAGAGGGAGGGTGAAAGGCCTGCAGAGTCAAACCTTCCAGGAAAATAAGCAACAGCTGCCAGCACAGAGCTGGGGACAGGGAAAGGAGGAGAGTGGGAGGAACACAGGAGGGCCGGGTGGGCGAGGGTGCAGGAAGGATAGGTGGTTTCCGATTAGGTGCAACTCCAGAGAAAGTTCAATAAAGGGATGACAAGTTTCAGTCTGTATGTGAGTCGTGGGAGAAGCAAGGAAGATCACTCTAGAGTAAGAGGAGGACAGAGAGAACTGTAAGAACCAGCGGAAAAGATTTCTGTGAAGAAGCACTAAGCATATTCAGAGAAAGGAAAACCAAGTGAAGAAAACATGGGGCAAAAGGAAAGGAAGGCAGCCAAGAGAGCGGGTCTTGGTGGACAACAAAGGAGTGGAAAGGCACTTAGAACACCTGAAATGCTGTTTCTCTATAAGGTGGTGTTATGGGATACGTGGAGACACAACCAAGGGAGGTGCAAGGCAAGTGTAAGGCAGAAACACCACAGGGTGTACGGGGATTACAAAGAACTATGAAGATGACGCCAAGTTCTTCTAATGCACATCAGTACATTATCTTCAGCCACTGAGGGCATCAAATGCTCAAAACAAATGGAAATGTCTGACAAAGCTACCTAAGGAAGTCAGGTCAGTGAGCGGAAGACATCAATTATGCAGCAAAGCTAACACACAGATTTACAGTGCATAACACGAACCTGTCCTGAACACTCCTCGACACCATTAGGAAAGCTAAAGCCGGAAAGACTAACGGAGGAGGAGAGCTGGTTGGTAACTGGAGTTTGACACCGCGTAATGGGAAGAATAAGGTGATCAAAGTTCTTCAGAAGGAGAGCAATGTCCAAATGGCTCGTAAAGGGATTTGAATGATGATTAGGCAAGTGAACTCACAGATAGTCCAGGAAATCAAAGGACTAACACATGAAAAAATGACAGATGAACCTGGTGCTGTTACATGCCTGCAAATCCCAGCACTTAGGAGACTGAGACAGAAGGACCTGGAATAACAGGCCACCCTGAGCTACCTTGCCGTCCCCAAACCAACAAAAACCTAAAGCAAAAAACCCAACAATAACAAAAAGAGTTTAAATACAGACAACTATTCTTGCAGAATTTTTTCACCCTACACTTAGCTCAATATACTGAACACTGGATTTTTTGAAACACTATGAAATAAAGAAAAAAGTTTTCAATTTTTTTTTGTTTTTGTTTTTTGTTTTTTGAGACAAGGTTTTTCTGTGTAGCTTTGCACCTTTCCTGGATCTCGCTCTGTAGACTAGGCAGGCCTCAAACTCACAAAGATCTGCCTGCCCCTACCTCCCAAGTGCTGGAATTAAAGTCGTGCACCACCACCGCCAAGCACAGGCAATTTTTTTAAATGCACATTTCAAATAGATTTACTTTCTTAAAATAAAGTTAGCTGCAATTACAGGAACAGAATTTGTCTGTTACTAGTTGGTCTGCTAGGAAAAGTTATAACAATCTAGTATTTAAAAAAAACTTTTCTTTACTTAGGAATTGGATTTTCTATCTTAAATACTTTGATTATGAATATGTTTAGATCAAAAGCTATAATAAAACATATATTGAAATATTTCATACACTTAATCTACTATAACTGCCCCCCAAAAAACCGTAACAGAGTTAAATTGAGAGAAACAGTCAACTCTCTATCTTTTAGTGACTGGCATTCTCTTCACCTAATGTTGTCCCTCCCTCTGCATGCTAAACTGTGCTCACACACACACACACGCAGAGGCTGGAGTCAGCGTATGTAAGAACACTGAGACTGAAAACGTGGCACTCATGGCGTCAGAACAGTACAAGAGGGTCACGGGGTGTATACAGACCTTGGATCTGGGCAAGGGCTTACTTGAGTGGCTACGTGTACAACAAAGTATGCTGTATAGTAAGGAAATGTAGACTTTAACTATCTTTCTTATTATTTTTTTTTTTTTTACCAAAATTTGCCTTGTGATTTGTGTTGTGATCTCTCTGGCATCCAAGACAATCGATGGTGGAAGTGAGGAGGCCTCTGCAGCTTTTAAACCTAAAATTACAGAAAAACAGACTTTAAATCATTTCTATCTAGTCTCAGCTGTGTGCTCCTCCATCTAGCAGACCAAAATTCTTCCATGACTGCCTTACACAAATCCCAAGTGCCAACTACCCCCCCGCCCCTGATCCATGCAGATACCATTCCATAGGCT